GAAGCATGTCATCGATCCCAATTGTGTGGATCGATGCTCATGATCTCAATCACTGGATTGTCTGGTCCAGACTCGATTATTGACAGACATATAGCTAGAATATTACTGAGTGCGGCGTTAAACAACAAACCAACTAATGATCTTTCTGAGCATGCCTAATATATTGTGTTTATGTCATTTTATAATCAAATCTGTGATTTACCGATTGAGAAATGGAGGCCAATTAAACAATTATGTCCACAAAATCAACTTGATAAATTAAATAACATTATTTCTGTCACTCTTAATGCGGACTGTTCTGTGCATGACATTAACTATTGGGTGTATGCTGCTGCTCGAACACTGGAGGAACGCCATACAGTTTCCAAAAACAATGAACCACAAAAGTGCAAAAAACAAAATCATTCAAAGAAAAACCGGTTCCAAATAAAAGTAAATGAAACAAAGAAAGACATATCCTGGATAGAACTTTGCTTAAAATTATGTTCATCGGGGCAATCAATGTCAAAACGAAAAAACTCAATTTGGAAAACTTTAAAAACAAAATACAAGACAACAAAAGAGAAGATTCTTAATCAAATTCTTGATTCTCTTAAAACGAAGTTAAGGTTTGGACAGAAAGAAACAGAAAGTGGGACAAGAAAAATATTTTCATAAAACAAAACAAATTGTCCAAATCTAATGAATAACAATTTTACAGGCAATTAAATGCAACCAATGGCCATGATGAGAAAAGATCCCCCATGGATTCTAGTGAAAGGTTTTGGAAACAGTTCTGGTCTATACCCGGTAACTGAAACCTAGATGAACCATGGATAGGGGAGTAAAATAAAAATGTACAGTCACCATTGTTGTGTTTTATAACACCTGATTGCCTAAAAAGTTAATAAGAAAATCCAAATCTAAAACGGCGCCAGAACCTGATTGTATTCGAAAGCGGTTTTGGAAACTATTCCCTTACTGTCCAAACACCATTACTTCTCTTGTGGATACAGGGGATGCTCCGCCTTGGTTCTGCATAGGTCGAACAATACTTATCCCATAGAAATTTGAAATTTGACTGACCCTAAAAACTTCCGCCCTATTACTTGTCTAATACACACTACAAAATATTCACCGGGTGTCTCACAGATCTTGTGCCATCATACTATGCTTCCAATGACATTTTTTACATCGAGCAGAAAGTAGCCAGAAAGGGATGCTGGGGTTGAAAGGAACTGTTACTTGTTCAGAAAATGATCCTTGAAGAGGCTGAAACTTACCACCGTAATCTCACAATGTGTTGGATAGAATACAGAAAAGCTTATGATTCTGTACCTCATGAATGAATTTTAAAGTCACTGGAATGTATTGACTTCCCCGACTACTAGTTTTACTCAAGTCTTTAATGAATTGCTGGTCAACTCAACTTGAAATGTATTCGTAGGGGCAGGTGGGAACCCATTCCTATTAGAAGAGGAATATTTCAGGGCGATTCTTTTAGTCCTTTGGTTTTCTGCTTGTCACTTAATCCTTTAAGGTTTTTTCTCAGCAAAGAGGAAGGTAATCACCCGGGACCTCCTCAGCACAGATCCCCAACATCCCTTGCTCACCCTCCTTTCCATATATGACCTTCAACTGATTACCAGTTGAGGATCCACACTAGAAAAAACGATTCTTACTTGTCGAGTCCTGTTCTAATGATATTAACATTCTTCATCTGAAACGTGACAAGGTAGAAGTGGGAGGATCAGTCAGTTTACTTAGGGGAGGAGTCATTGACCATCATGTGGAAGGTCAGGCCTATACGTACTTCGGAATGCAGGTTAGGGACAAACTCCAGAGTGCCCAAAGCAAGGACAAACATTGGGAAGAGTACAAATGAAGACTTATGAAAATCTGAAGTTCAGGACTGAACGCTAGCAATAAAGTCTAAGCCACAAATAAGGCTTTTGTATTCTTTTGGTGTTGTTGATTGGTCGAAACAAGAAATTCAGGGTATTGACACCCTCATACGAAGAATCATGTCAGACAATAGATCCCACCATCCCCGCTCTTCCTTCAATCGCTTATATTTACCAATCATAATGGGAGGGCGTGGTTTGATAAACGTTGGGGCTCTTCAGGATAGAATTGTATTGTGCTCATTTGCACACATCTATTTTTCTGATAATCCTCTTGTGAAGCATGTCAAGACTCATGATGAAAGCAAGGCATTTCTCAGTTTTGGTAAACGAGCCAAGGATGTAGGACATATTCTCAATGTCAAAGTGGATTTTGTTGATTGTTCTGTACTGCTGGACGGTACAGAAATGAGTGTCAATCAAGCGAGGTGCCATATCAAATCGGCTTAGACTCAGGTTTTCAAAGAGAGGCTATCTGAACGACCACTGCATCGAGTCTATGTGCATTGTGTTAAGAAGGAGTCCTTCCCTTGGATGAAGTCGGTTGGCCTGAGAAGTGAAACTGAAGGCTTTTTTTTGGTTGCTCAGGACCAGTCACTTCCCACTCGAAACCGTCAATGCGGGATTTTGCATTAAAATGTAAATGTGAAATGTAGATTTTGTAATGAATTAAAAGAGACTATCCAACACATTGTCAGTGGATGCCCAGCTTTGGCACAAACACAGTATCTTAAGCGACAAGATGGAGCAGCTCGATCCTTTTATTTCGGTTTTCACACAGCGGTCCATCCATGGTACGCCCCATGGGCGTCATAGAAAAGGATAAATACAAAATTCTTTGGAATAGGCCCGTTAACATCCCCAGACGTATCCAGGCCAACAAACCTGATCTTGTACTTTTTGGTAAATCCAGTGAAATCATTTATATTATTGAATTTTCTGTCCCTTTTGACACAGAAACAAGACAAATATGCAGACCTCGCTTTCGAAATGTCACGCTTGCATCCCAAGTACCAAGTTGTCTGACTCCCAGTTGTTCTCGTTGCCTTGGGTTTGGTAATGCCCAATCTGTTGACTGACATTGAGAGAGTATTCAGGTTTGCTACCAGGAATAATGTAATGTGTGGGTAATGTAGAAGGCAGCAGTGTTGGGGAGTCTTCACATTCTCTGAAGAGTTCTGGGTGGGCTTCACTAGGCAGCGCTTCCTGGGAGAAGTCCCATTTGCTGTCTGGGCTGCATGTAGAGGGGGAAAGGGCCAGAGATGATGATGAGCCTAACCAGCCTGACTGTGCCAGGATCACCCAAACCCTCTTTGATGCATTGTTTATTTTCATCTGTTAGTAAAGGTAATAATAATAGTCCATTTTAGGGCGGATATATCCATGCATAGTGCAGGCTAATAAGAAGTCAATCGGAGACAGAAAGTCTAAAGCGATAGGATTTGAGTTGTGAGCAGAAAGAAGGCAGTTCACTGTTGTGGTAGATGGTTCCGGGCAATGGCCGCTAAGTATGCAAAGGAACGTTTGCCATAGTGTGGTGTCCGGACACTTAGTATGAAGAGCAAATTCTTATTCTCTGAGCGGAGGGATCTTCCTGGGACAAACACATGAAGGAGATCAGCAAGATGGGATGGAGCTTAAAACATAAAAGATAATCTTGAATGTTATCCTGTGTTCAGCTGGAAGCCAGTTGTATAACACAGGAGTGATATGGTCAGTCTTGCGAGAGTGAGTAACTATTCTGGCTGCTATGTTCTGCACTCGTTGTAAGTTGGCAGCCGGGATCTTATTGCATCCAACAGCAAGCTATTACAGTAGTCAGACCTTGTCATAACTAAAACCAAGTGTGATAGATGACTGCTGAGTAAGAAATTTGCGGATGTGCCCTATGTTCCTTAGAATGAAAACACAGGCTTGTTAAGAGACAATTCCGGATCTAGGGTAGCACCAAGATTTCGTACATCTGCTGACAGGGGAATGGTGGTGTCACTGAACTGAAATGATTCAGTGCCACATTGCCCTCTTGGACCCTTTGGACCAACAAATAGGCACTCGATTTTACTGTCATTAAGCTTCAGCTTGTTTTCAAACATTATCCATAACGTAATGTTACTGCAGCATTCGCCGAGGCGAAACAATGTAGCATTTGCATCTGATGGTGTGGTTTTGAAGACATCATGGAGCTGCGTGTCAGCAGCATATAAATGACGACTTATCTGGTGCTTAGCAATGAGTGTACCTACTTCCTTAGTGTATGCGGTGAATAATACTGGTCCAAGCACAGAACCTTGCGGGACCTCACACTTGAACAGCAATTTCTCAGTCAGTGATCATCCATCAATAAGAACTGACTGATATGAAAGATAAATCAATGCCATGCTATTCCGTCAATCCTGAATTCATTTCTGAAGCGCGCAAGAAGACCGTCGTGGTCAGTGGTATCAACGGCAGCACTTAAATCGAACAGAACCAGTAAACCAACGTTATTGTTGTCTATAGCGATTCTTAAGTAATTTAGAACCTTAATTAGAGCTGTATCAGTGCTGTGATTGCTTCGATATGCAGACTGGTAAGGCTCATGGAGATTGTTGCCAGACAGATGCTTGGAAATCTTTCACCAACTGCACGTTCAATTCATTTGGATAGGTTTGATACTGGTTTGATACTGGTTGGTAGTTGTTAAGTTCATCAGGGTTCTTTAACAGTGGCTTGACAATAGCTACTTTGAAGATTGATTGCATGACGCATGACACCAGACTTGTGTTGAAGTTTGTTAATACTGGTAGAAGAATTGGCCAAGATTATTGTGGTAGAACTGTATCAAGAACACAAGAGGTGGGATTGGACTTTTTAATAAGTTTCAAAACTTCATCGTCTCTGAGAAGAAGCTGAAAGTTTCATGAACGGGAAAGAGTCTGAGAAGACATTTTTTCTCACTTATACGTTTCTCATACGAATTGTTGAATACTTTTTTAACGTGTTTTAAAGTAATAAATGACAAACCTGAATGTTCTTAACAGTAGCATTGTTCATAAATGTATCCAATATTAACACAAAAGACTATATGAATGTGAATGATACTACTGGTTGAACATCTACGTCTTGCTTTCACTTAACCTGGCACATGTTCCTCGGTCCTGAAGGTGTCAATCAGCCCCTGTATAATGATGCTGGGTTTGATCTGCCCCGCCCACTCCTCCACTGGCCTGCTGGGGTTGGGGACCTTGGTATCTTGTTGACAGAAGGCACAGGGGATCGTCTTGGACTGTAAAGCAACTGGTCTGGTTTGGATGTACTTGGTGATACATCTCTGACAGAAAGTGTGGTGGCAGGTCAGTGTACAAGGGTCTGTGTAGGTCTTGAAGCAGATGGAGCACGTCAGGAAATTATCCTTTACTTTCCTCCCCAGCCGGGCGGTAGCCATCTGTTAAACTGACAGGCAGTAGTTTTATAGCTTGACTCAGTACAAAACACAACGCTATATCACACCTCATAAAAGTGTAAAATGTATACAGTATTATATTACACCCATTTGCCTATGATTATTTTTTGCACATATGAAGGCAAACGTGTTTATAGGAAATCTAATGATTATCGATAGAATGATGATTATTTTAGTTATCTCTCGTCAGTTGTGTACATGTACTCACTGTATTGGTCATCGGAAAAATAAAGAACATTAATGATTGACATTGTATGTTGTTTAAGGTCACATTCTGCAATATCCCAGCTGCACGAGGCGGCTTGTAAATAATCGAATCTGGACCAGACACAGCGATTAACATCACAGGCATCGATCAATGTAAATTAGGATATGAAGACATGCCGTCAACTGAGCCACACCACCCGATCCAAATAGTCGCACATACCACATGCTTAGGCTGCTGGCTGACCTATATTCGTATCTGGTATATTTATTAACACTGATCAATTGTATGTCCCGCGACATGGCTAGGTTGCTGGGGACCCATATTCCTACCCGTAATCCGGTATTTCGTAATATTGATCTCTGATTGTGGATATTGTGTAGTATACATATATCATCGGTGTTCTGAGAGGCACGTCCAACCTCTGCATAGTACAAGCTGAACATGGCTGTCTGTTACACCTTTACGTGTACAAATTATCCTGCCTTATCACTTACGGGTTACTTCGGCGCCCTTCTACAGTAAACACTGGCATAACGCACTGTCGCCTGGCCTCGCCACGTAGCCACCTGTAGTTTGGTACTCAACTGAACTCATTTATTCTCAGTAAAAAAACACCCACGGTGGTACATGAGAGAAAATTATATTAAAAATATTAATATGTACAACATGACAGCATTTAACAAGAATAATGAAAATAGAATACGTTGATGCTAATACAATTTACCAATTGTATTGTACACATTGTTAAGGAATTAAGATTCCTTACTGGTGCCTTTTAGATTGCTTACACTGTAGGTAGTTTCTTAAATTGGTTCGTGTCGCTGTTGGACAAAAGCCTCACATCTAAAATAAATGATGAAACTCATCTCCCACAGCGAATGAATCACAGAGTGGACACTGAAATGTTCAGCCATCGACCAGTTTCAACAGGTAACATATGATCAGTAGTTCTGAATATTAACACAGGGAGAAATATTGATTTTGAGAGTGATAGATATTTCTCAAATGAGGGTTGGTTCTTCAGATTCTTGTAGTACGACCTCTGGAGCTTGATGAACAGTGGATTTCAAGTTCTGGAGGAATTGAGATCTAAATATATTCAACCGTTGAGGCCAGCCATGGCGTTGGACATACCGATGGGTTTTTGAAATACATATCAGTTGTTTAATACAGTCTTAATAAAGTCTAAACATGGGATATTTTCAACTTCTTTATGGATTGTATACATGTATTTGTAAAGTGTTTGGGACGGTTTATCATACCCTTCTGTAGAAGTAAGCTTAAGCCAAAAGGAATTATACGTTTAAAAACTGTAATACTTCCCTGCCAAATTCACCATTTAACATAAAGATTGGAGTTGTGTCTCGTAAGGCGAAATGTTTATTATCTCAGTAACTTTTAATCCGTTTATCAATACACGTTTTACAGTTCTTTGACATTTGGCAGTAATAAGATTCATTTAAAGGCGTATTTTATTTTCTCATTTTATTGTTAGCTTTTTAAAACTTTTTACGCTGGATTCCACATTCTTTGTCAAACCACGGCTTGTTTTACATTCTACCTAACACCAACTGCAGTGGATGTGTTACAACCAATCTGCACAACTGCCCACTGACTGCATTGGACAGGCTGTTTGTAAAACACAAATAAAATAGGGCACGAAAATAGTACGTCTGAACAAAATGACCAAGTTGTTATTTATTACAGTTTATTCACTTAGTAAACATGTAAAATAATACCAATTTCAAATGCGTGCTTTGGGCACAACAATTACATGCACATATTTTGAAATATTTGGAGAAATATTTTATTCACAACTATTGCCCATTGCACGCAATGAGCAGATAATTGTTTGCATGTACATTGCATGCATTGGGCAAGCTGTATTGCCATATACATGCAATGGGCAAACGGCCTGCTCAATGCACTCAGTGGGCAGTTGTACAGATTGGGTGCAGCATGAAGCATCAACAAGCGTGTGTCCTATATTGTGGGCCATGCCGTTGATCATTTCCGCAGGTTCAAGTGCTCGCTCTGTCAGTTCACGCAAAAGATGCCTGTTGATATTTTGACAAAACATGGTGGATACATTTTCGACTTGGGCTTCTTACTCTCAATAGTACCAATGGTTGGATTACTAAGAGGATTAATTTTGTAAATCTGGTTTCTGGTAGGGTATAATGACAGAGAAGCGACTGGACACTGAACATCAGAGTAAATTCATAAAGTTGCATGGACAATGGTGATGTAATAATATAATCAAGAAATGATGTATCAATTTATTTACCAATATGTCTGTCTTTTCCCAAATGACCATTGGAGATAAATAGGTTTAAATGTTTGTGTATGTCAGTGACTTTAACACCAAAGTTATTCATCCCATCCATGTCTTATGTGTCATGTTGTAAGCATTGTTCATCTAATACTAATTCAGGTTTAAATCCATAGCCATCTCATCAATACGTTGATCCTTTTCTCTGTTCGTGCAATGAAATCACCAAAATATGGTGACGTAGTCACTAACTGAGAGATAATTCATACATATATATATATATATATATATCATATACTAGTAATGGGTAGGTTTCTCGGCAGGATATAAACACGATATCCGTTGGGGTCATATGCGGATAGAGATGCAGTATCAAAGGTCAAGTAGGGACTACTTTCAGTGTTTACAAACTCACATGGCGTCGCCCTTGTCATTCGGCGATCGAGTCAGAATTAACCATTGGGAATCTGGATAAACTAAAGGGATAATTGCTATCATTATCAAAAGAACAGTCTTATAAACTGAAAATCCGTGTCTAACTGTGACGTAGCTAAGGCATTTGATAATGTTTTGGCAACTTTGGAGATATAAATTTCGAAACAATTTTGTAAGGGCACTAGGCCCAGCCAAGCGGAATCAGTAGCCATATCTGTGCTTGTCGACCTCTGCGGCTTGAAACCTTTTCCACAAATTAAAATACCGGTAGTTGGATTTGGCCGAAAAATGTTTGAATTGTTACCTTGTTTCGTTTTGTCACTCTGGGTACATCTTACTGTACTTAACGTTGACAGGACAGACCGACTCTGGCTACGTGGAGAGGCGATACTGTGCAATGTCAGTGTTTACTGTAACCAACAGGCGTCTGAACGTGGCCGTGACGTCTCATTGACTAGGGTTAGAGTAGCTTCCCTTTGACGAAGGGCAGTTACTCTAGCGGACAGACCGATGGATTGCCGCGAAAGGCAAGTAAAAACATTTATTGTTTTGCGTATATGTTTCTTCGCCACTGTATAAGAAACAGATGTTAGTTGGAGCTCTATTGGCTACTGTCACAGTCCGCTTGACACATTACTTACACTGTGACGTAATAAATATTAATGCACGCATTCCAGGAAAACTTGCAATGTTTCGGTAATGTTTGTGAGAGAGGGAAAGCTATTTTCAAGCACAGAATTAAAGAATGACATTATATGGTAAAGAGGTTATCACGCTTGTGTGTTTGGGGATGTTAAATATCCTGTATTAGGAATAAACACTATGTATTTAGGTCGCCAAGGCTCGCTAAATACAATGTTTATTCCTAATGAAGGATATTTACCATCCCCAAACACACTCGCGTGATAACCTCTCATTATTTTTCACTGAAATCCTTATGCCCAAGCCCCCTCTTACAGTAAACACTGACAGTGCACAATGTCGCCTCTCCACGTAGCCACCAGTAGTTCGGTACAGAACAACTCATGGTAATGGAGGAACGATTGAGTGGATACGTCGACCCAAATTACAATTGGGGACTGCCTTTTGTTCAGCTCTGTGAACCAGTCAATGGAAGTATGTTTTCGTAACTGTATCTATGTTATTAGCTTCAGGTCGATGTGATATAACCCACCGCGAGATTTTAATGTAATAACGAAAGTAGGTGACTTCCTTGTTGCAACATATATAATGACACTTAGCTATTTCGAACAGATAATGAATGCTATGTTACAACAGATTATGAATTATAATTACAAAAACAATGAACACTAAGTGCCAGTTAATAGTTTGACATAATCTACGTTTCAGAAAACGGGAAAAGGTATCTGAAATTCTACCTTTCTGCTGGCTGTTTCCAGGTGTGGGTTGCTGCACTGGTTTTACTCGGCTGGTCCCAAATCGCCGCCTTTCGGCTCCTTCCGTAAAACGAGATCAAGCACAGTTAAACCGGCAACCGTTACAGTTCTATGCATGGACGTGTACGGACGTCGCTATAAGTGAAATAGTCTTGAACGCAACCTTAAGCACCATTTCACCTCGCCGTTGCATTTGAGCTGGCAAAGGAAGATAATTCTCACCTCTGAAAACTGTAGATTTCTCATCAACATATAGATCAGACTGACACGTTGTTATACCACTGAAATCTTGTTCAAAGGGAGCCGGAAAGCCAAATTCACTCACTCAGTTTCGTGTTCAGATAACATTGGTTTGCTTAGCGTTTGGTATCGGTGTCGGTGATGAGATCCATATCCTTCCGATGTACTTAAAAACTAATCAATGCAAATTACAACGACTGAACTTGTCTCATAAAAGTGTAGAAGTTTACAACCTAACCGGGCGGTAGCCATCAGTTAAATTTAGTATTTAATAGTATTCCTTCATAGTTTAACATGTTTTATATTTGCATTTATATATATATACACCTTTGTATCTGCATCATGTATCTGGCTTCTTTATTACCTGGCTGCAAATAATATATCTACATGTGCGCAGTATGATATACTGTACCTGTCTGCACGTGCAAATGGATTAAAACAAACAAGTTCAGTTATATTATTGTTGTTTGTATATATACTCAATGCAAACAGAAGCCAGATACATGATTAAGATATAAAGAAGCCAGATACATGATGTAGATATAAAGAAGCGAGGTACATGATGTAGATACAAAGAAGCCAGATACATGATATAGATATAAAGAAGCCAGGTACACGATGTAGATATACAGAAGCCAGATACATATTGTAGATATAAAGAAGCCAGATACATGATATGTAGATATAAAGAAGCCAGGTACATGATGTAGATATAAAGAAGCCAGATACATGATGTAGATATAAAGAAGCCAGATACATGATGTAGATATAAAGAAGCCAGGTACATGATGTAGATATAAAGAAGCCAGATACATGATGTAGATATAAAGAAGCCAGATACATGATGTAGATATAAAGAAGCGAGGTACATGATGTAGATATAAAGAAACCAGGTACACGATGTAGATATAAAGAAGGCAGGTACATGATGTAGATATAAAGAAGGCAGGTACATGATGTAGATATAAAGAAGCCAGATACATGATGTAGATATAAAGAATGCAGGTACATGATGTAGATATAAAGAAGGCAGGTACATGATGTAGATATAAAGAAGCCAGATACATGATGTAGATATAAAGAAGCCAGATACATGATGTAGATATAAAGAAGGCAGGTACATGATGTAGATATAAAGAAGCCAGGTACACGATGTAGATATAAGGAAGCCAGGTACATGATGTAGATATAAAGAAGCCGGGTACATGATGTAGAGATAAGACAGCCGGGTACACGATGTAGAGATATGAAAGCCAGGTACATGATGTAGATATAAAGAAGCCAGGTACATGATGTAGATATAAAGAAGCCAGATACATGATGTAGATATAAAGACGCCAGGTACACGATGTAGAGATAAAGAAGCCAGGTACATGATGTAGAGATAAAGATGCCAGGTACATGATGTAGATATAATGAAGCCAGGTACATGATGTAGATATAAAGAAGCCGGGTACATGATGTAGAGATAAGAAAGCCGGGTACACGATGTAGAGATATGAAAGCCAGGTACATGATGTAGATATAAAGAAGCCAGATACATGATGTAGATATAAAGAAGCCAGGTACACGATGTAGATATAAAGAAGCCAGATACATGATGTAGATATAAAGAAGCCAGATACATGATGTAGATATAAAGAAGCCAGATACACGATGTAGATATAAAGAAGCCAGGTACACGATGTAGAGATAAGAAAGCCGGGTACACGATGTAGAGATATGAAAGCCAGATACATGATGTAGATATAAAGAAGCCAGGTACATGATGTAGAGATAAGAAAGCCGGGTACACGATGTAGAGATAAGACAGCCGGGTACACGATGTAGATATAAAGAAGCCAGGTACATCATGTAGATATAAAGAAGCCAGGTACACGATGTAGAAATAAGAAAGCCGGGTACACGATGTAGAGATATGAAAGCCAGATACATGATGTAGATATAAAGAAGCCAGATACACGATGTAGATATAAAGAAGCCAGGTACATGATGTAGATATAAAGAAGCCAGATACATGATGTAGATATAAAGAAGCCAGGTACATGATGTAGAGATAAAAAAGCCGGGTACACGATGTAGAGATATGAAAGCCAGATACATGATGTAGATATAAAGAAGCCAGGTACACGATGTAGATATAAAGAAGCCAGGTACACGATGTAGAGATAAGACAGCCGGGTACACGATGTAGATATAAAGAAGCCAGATACATGATGTAGAAATAAGAAAGCCGGGTACACGATGTAGAGATATGAAAGCCAGATACATGATGTAGATATAAAGAAGCCAGGTACATGATGTCGAGATAAGAAAGCCGGGTACACAATGTGGATATAAAGAAGCCAGATACATGATGTAGATATAAAGACGCCAGGTACACGATGTAGAGATAAGAAAGCCGGGTACACGATGTAGAGATATGAAAGCCAGGTACATGATGTAGATATAAAGAAGCCAGGTACATGATGTAGATATAAAGAAGCCAGGTACACGATGTAGATATAAAGAAGCCAGATACATGATGTAGATATAAAGAAGCTGGGTACACGATGTAGATATAAAGAAGCTAGGTACATGATGTAGATATAAAGAAGCCCGATACATGATGTAGATATAAAGAAGCCAGGTACACGATGTAGATATAAAGAAGCCAGATACATGATGTAGATATAAAGAAGCTGGGTACACGATGTAGATATAAAGAAGCCAGGTACATGATGTAGATATAAAGAAGCCCGATACATGATGTAGATATAAAGACACCAGGTACATGATGTAGATATAAAGAAGCCAGATAAATGATGTAGATATAAAGAAGCCAGGTACACGATGTAGATATAAAGAAGCCGGGTACACGATGAAGAGATATGAAAGCCAGGTACATGATGTAGATATAAAGAAGCCAGGTACATGATGTAGATATAAAGAAGCCAGATACATGATGTAGATATAAAGACGCCAGGTACACGATGTAGAGATAAAGAAGCCAGGTACATGATGTAGAGATAAAGATGCCAGGTACATGATGTAGATATAATGAAGCCAGGTACATGATGTAGATATAAAGAAGCCGGGTACATGATGTAGAGATAAGAAAGCCGGGTACACGATGTAGAGATATGAAAGCCAGGTACATGATGTAGATATAAAGAAGCCAGATACATGATGTAGATATAAAGAAGCCAGGTACACGATGTAGATATAAAGAAGCCAGATACATGATGTAGATATAAAGAAGCCAGATACATGATGTAGATATAAAGAAGCCAGATACACGATGTAGATATAAAGAAGCCAGGTACACGATGTAGAGATAAGAAAGCCGGGTACACGATGTAGAGATATGAAAGCCAGATACATGATGTAGATATAAAGAAGCCAGGTACATGATGTAGAGATAAGAAAGCCGGGTACACGATGTAGAGATAAGACAGCCGGGTACACGATGTAGATATAAAGAAGCCAGGTACATCATGTAGATATAAAGAAGCCAGGTACACGATGTAGAAATAAGAAAGCCGGGTACACGATGTAGAGATATGAAAGCCAGATACATGATGTAGATATAAAGAAGCCAGATACACGATGTAGATATAAAGAAGCCAGGTACATGATGTAGATATAAAGAAGCCAGATACATGATGTAGATATAAAGAAGCCAGGTACATGATGTAGAGATAAAAAAGCCGGGTACACGATGTAGAGATATGAAAGCCAGATACATGATGTAGATATAAAGAAGCCAGGTACACGATGTAGATATAAAGAAGCCAGGTACACGATGTAGAGATAAGACAGCCGGGTACACGATGTAGATATAAAGAAGCCAGATACATGATGTAGAAATAAGAAAGCCGGGTACACGATGTAGAGATATGAAAGCCAGATACATGATGTAGATATAAAGAAGCCAGGTACATGATGTCGAGATAAGAAAGCCGGGTACACAATGTGGATATAAAGAAGCCAGATACATGATGTAGATATAAAGACGCCAGGTACACGATGTAGAGATAAGAAAGCCGGGTACACGATGTAGAGATATGAAAGCCAGGTACATGATGTAGATATAAAGAAGCCAGGTACATGATGTAGATATAAAGAAGCCAGGTACACGATGTAGATATAAAGAAGCCAGATACATGATGTAGATATAAAGAAGCTGGGTACACGATGTAGATATAAAGAAGCTAGGTACATGATGTAGATATAAAGAAGCCCGATACATGATGTAGATATAAAGAAGCCAGGTACACGATGTAGATATAAAGAAGCCAGATACATGATGTAGATATAAAGAAGCTGGGTACACGATGTAGATATAAAGAAGCCAGGTACATGATGTAGATATAAAGAAGCCCGATACATGATGTAGATATAAAGACACCAGGTACATGATGTAGATATAAAGAAGCCAGATAAATGATGTAGATATAAAGAAGCCAGGTACACGATGTAGATATAAAGAAGCCAGGTACATGATGTAGAGATAAGAAAGCCGGGTACACGATGTAGAGATAAAGAAGCCAGGTACATGATGTAGAGATAAGAAAGCCGGGTACACGATGTAGATATAAAGAAGCCAGGTACATGATGTAGATATAAAGAAGCCAGGTACATGATGTAGATATAAAGAAGCCAGATACACGATGTAGATATAAAGAAGCCAGGCACACGATGTAGAGATAAAAATCCGGGTACAAGATGTAGATATAAAGAAGCCAGGTACATGATGTAGAGATAAGAAAGCCGGGTACACGATGTGGATATAAAGAAGCCAGATACATGATGTAGATATAAAGACGCCAGGTACACGATGTAGAGATAAGAAAGCCGGGTACA